GCTATTAGGTTGGACGCCATCGCTATTAGGTTGGAGGCCATCGCTGTTTTACAGTTCTTTGGCCATACACTCCCAGTTGGCGCACTCCTCGCTCCGAGGTTCACGTGTTCGCCTTGAAAGCGGAAGTCACCGGGCTTCTGGCCGCCCGTGATACCCAGCAAACAGACGACGCAACGGGCTTCGTCCGTGCCGCGTAGACGTGGCGCAGCATTCTGGTGACTGCGAACACCATTTGCAGCGAGATGTGGTTGTGGGGGGGGAAGCTTGAAGCTTGTGGAGTCACAGGATATGTCAAAGTGGAGCGGCAAATGTCATAGTGTATCGTAGTGTATCAAAGAATATCAAAGAACAGGGGTTGGTGGTTCAAGCTTATCGGCTCTCTGAGCACACCTTTGGGGGTCAAGATGGTGCTTGGCCATTCCCTGTCCTCCCAAGGTGTCTGAAAACCCAAACGACAATGGAAGCTTTCCTAGTGCACCTGAAACATGTGGTGCTTGAGGCGTTCCGATGCAGCTTCGAGGGGCGCTTGGACCAGGAGCCACCAGGGGCGCTTGTCAGCCGAAATCAACATACAATGCCAAAGACGCCAGTCATGACCCAGTGCAGCGGACAAAAAGAGGAGGATGCTGGTGGCGAATATGATTTCCGAATCGACGGCCATGCTGGCCGGTCTTGTTTCGCCAACGGTTGCGAAAACAGAGGATGTTTCAAGGTGTTTCGATGTTGCGCAACAGCATCCAACTCCTGTTCAACCGCAGAGGAACGCTGCCATGTGGAGGAGGGGTCACGTGGCCGGCCCCCGGTGCCACGCTCGCTCGGGCGCGGTGCCGGCCAGGTGTGGGAGTCCAGATTCACATCTTCACCGAGTCGGAGGCAGAACCGACGTGGTCGGGTCCAATGCGGTCGGACGAGAGCGTCGGACCTGTCCAAGACTTTTGGAGTGCTTATGTTTAATGTGTGTGAGAGAGAGTGATTCAACATGATTCAACCAGTGTCGACCCAAGCATGCTTCCTTGAGTGTTGAATGTGTTTTTCCCGTCCTTCTGCTTGTTGAGAGGTGCTTACTGACGATCTCGTCGTGGATGCTGGTGTCACACTGGAGGCAGCTGGTAAGCCACGCTTGTAGCAAGTGGTGTTTTTTTGGGTCAACAGACCGATCATTGTTACATATTGTTACAAATTTATTTGTCTATATACCTATCCATCATTATCCATCTATTTGTCTCAGTTACATATCACATACAGGTTCTTAGACAGTCTTATCATCCCAGAATGAAGGAAGAGCCTGGCAAAACTCCTTTCAACCCAGGAACATCCTCCAACAAGCTATGCTGGCTGGTCCTATCCCCGTGCTTGACATGCTTGCACGTTTTGTCTCGGACAAACATCACATGAATCGTCGCTATCACTACTTTTCACACGTTTTGGATCGTTTTGGGGAATCATGTCCCTGCTAACCATCATCATCCAAAGGGATGTGAGAGTCGAAATGCTAGGGGGTCGTATTAGCCAGTTAGCACATGGTAGAACCGGGATGATGGGAATCTATAATATGTACTTTATTATAGCACTCAGAACATTTTTTCAAAACAGTTTGAATCTAGCCACCACCAGTGCTTGCAACCATACCACAACACCACAGATACCGCACCACTACCACAAAGATTTCTCCCAGGGGGGGGCGGACCCAGCCGCGTAGCGGCACGAATAGGTCAGCGTCAAGAAAGCTATGTCTCCCATCTTGTCAAAAAATAATCCAAAGCTCAAAGCTCGCCAAGTTAAAGAGGACCTCCTTCTACTGCAGAACCCATCGCAGCACGGGCGCCAGCATGCGCCAGCCATCTCCCGACCCGTGTTGAGTGCGCACGACCCGCCCGGTCGGGCACGTTGCAGACGGGCGATCTGAACGCGCCCCACAACTTCGTCCGCTTCTACCTGGCCAAGTGGATCTCGGCGTCCAGGAGCGGGGCTTAGAAAGAACATGAAGAGAAGCATCATGGGAAAAGTTCCCCCCAATGAAAAATGAAAGAGTTTGAGGTTACCATGTGCAGTTTTGGCCCGACGGCGATTGGTGTAAAAACGAGAAGTGACCTTCGGATGAATCAGCGCTTGTGAGTTTGGTTTCGCAACGGCTGTGGATGGTCGATGGATCGAATACACCCATATCCATTTCTCCTTTCCCAACCGGTCTCCTGTTTGAAGGATCGTCTACCTCGATACCGACGTCATCGTCAAAGGTGATGCTCCATCCTCAGATTTCGTTTACGACGCGATGAGCTCATTGCTTTGGCTGAGCAAGTTTGGTCAACGCATGCTGGGCCATTTTTGGTGGGATGAACAATGATCGATTGGGTCAGAAACTATTTGGGTGTTCATCAGCAGTGGGTACTTTTTGCATCTAATAGCCTTCCCTTGTTTGTTGCGAAGCTCGCATTATTGAAACAAGGGTCACCTCTTCCCGGCTGGAGTTCACCATTTGAGGAGATGGGAGTAACGACGGAAGGCTTGGCCAACAGCTTGCATGTTCACCGAGTGAGCTGCTCCAAATGTAATCTCTGGACATCCACATCCACACACAGGCAGCTTTCGGCCGCACAGAACCCGCTGTGGAGCTCACTGAGCGCGAAATGCACAACTACATGAAATGGGACAATAGTCCCAAATCAAGCTTCCAGTGTGAACGACAGTTTCTTTTTCCAGTTGGCTCAGGATTGCGACCTTGAAGATATTGAAGCCTGATTGAGGTCCACAATACAGGTTTTCGGGTTGAAAATACGAAGGAAACAAAGTAAGCCTGACAAGACAAAGTGGAGCACTGACTGCAACTTGCCGGCCAGATAGTCGCCTCCCAAGGCTAAAGCCGCGTGCAGGAAATGTTTCCAATGACACTTAACACCTTCGATCAGGAAACCAAGGCTCATGGAATCAGTCAAAGAAACCTGGTACAAAAACCGATGGAGTGTATTCAGACAAACAACCCGTTGCAGCGCACAGGGCTTCCAAAACCATCCCAAAAGGCAACAGTCTTTTCAAATCCAACCGACACCGGCCGGAACGAAGCGGAACCGAAGCTTCAGGTGTGCGAGCTTCATGACATGGCCTTTCAGAGCTCACGGGAGGCTGCGTTCTGTTTGCCACCACGGGAGGCTGCGGTGTCCCTTTTCTTTCAGATTGATTTGTTTATCCACGGATTTCATCAGCGAATCAGCAAGCGATCAGCAGCGATCAAGACTCGGAGGGATTGACACAAGGTCTTTGGCCATTGACTCATTGACCCTTCCAGGTAGACCTCGACATGGATCCATTCACGTCGCAGATGGCCAGGCGGTGCTGGCGGCCGTGCCACGGCGGCATTTGCCGCTGTCCTTCTACTTGAAGGTGAGAGAGTCCGGATGTTTCGGAGGGCTTGCAGGGCAAACCAAGTCGCGAAAACCAATGCTCCCGTCGAATGCACAGAAATGGGGTCATACGGTATACGGGTCCGCCCTTTTTCACCTTACCATTTTGGCTCTCCCACAACATCTTGGCCTAAGAACGTGCTTCAGGGCAGGTGCTGGCGACGGCTTCTTGCAAGGAAGCGCACCCTTTCTTTTCTAGGTTCTGGAATGTTACTACCATGCTACAAAAGCTTTAAGACTTATACATGGTATCAAATGTCTTAAAGCTTTTTCTCACGGAGCAGCCAGTTTGCTGGACCCGGACGGCACCCGTTTGCGCTGCGTGGCCGTCTAGGTGTTCAGCCCCAAGATGCCTATTTGGTTGCCCTCGACGGCTCCAAGCTTCAATGCAGGTGGGTTCGCTCATTTCGTGGCTCAACAGGTTTTCCTTGGTCGAAGTGGATGAGGAGTTCAGGTTTAGCTTTAGACCGTGGCCAGCAAGTTCTTTCTTGTGCTGACTCAATAATCCACTTGCAATAATGTCTATATGCAATTACGATAAATATATAACTATGATGCATACTTGTCATTGTATATTTTGTATATTGTGTGTCCAATTTTTCGGGCCCCTATGTTCACGAACGATCGTTTTCCAACGAGTCATGTCATGTCGTGTTTTTTCCTGCTTCGATGTGCAGGCGTCATGGTGATTGATATGAAGCTTTGGGCATCTGGGCGTCCATTATTCACGCTCACCGGGGTTCTTTGTGCTAGCCCTGTGGGCCCTTCTGAACTTCTGAGGGTCCAGCAGTCTTGAAAGCATTGTTGATCCATAATATGGTCTAAAGGTCATTCATTGGTCGTCGAGTCGTCCATGATCATTGATCCATGTGACCAGCTGGTGGCACGTTTGCCATGTTTGGAGAGAACATGAGAGAACCCTCTTCGCGGAGACGCCATCAGATGGCGTCCTTGAGGAGCGGTTGAACGTTACCAATGCGGTGCTCAAATGGGCGAGACAGAACAAGGACAGAGACTTGTGGAGGCGCCGAGCTCAACGACACCCCTGTGAGCTCAACGATGCAAAAGGATGCCACTAGGTGTCTCTTTGCAAGCCATCAAGCGTGTCGTTTCCGAGTCATGTCATGTCACGGCCACAACGTTCAGACCATGTTGTAAAAATAGATAAAAGAGAAAACAACGCGTCAAAAGGCAGCCTTAACCCCTCATGGCAAGAACCTGGGGACACAGCTGCACAACCACCCGGCGCCAGGCATGGCTCACAACCACCGTTGCTGCTGCTCCTCTACGATCGGACGGAGTGGATTCCAGATGTTTGGAATGTCGATGGTCGATCCCTTAGCTGGATTGGACTGCTGCCTTCGCAGCTGGATTAGGAGCAACACCGACTTGTCGGTGGCAACACCGACTCGTCGAGGGCTCCCTCCATCCCACTTGACAACTAAAGACAGGTGCATTTGTACTCGCCAACCATCTAGCACTCCCCCAGCCAACGAGCAAAGTTCCTTTACTTGAGATAGCCCAATTTAGGGGTTGGCAGGCCATTCCAAGCCCATCGGTCAAATGAAACTGGACAACAAACCTTTGTGTCCATGGGTTCACTCTTTTCTGCCACCTGTTGAAGGTAGACGAGCACACTTGCCCCAACTTGGCGTGCCAAAAAAGGACCATGCGACGTTCCACGTCCGGAGCGAGGTGTCTTCACCCTGGAAGACCTGTCCTATGCCCGCCATGTTTCCCGTGGAACCGACCCGCTTTCTTCGAGGCTTGGGGCATGGCGCGCCACGGTCGCCGGAGCTGATCCGGGATGCGAAGATCTTGCACTGGACCGGTCCGCTCAAGCCCTGGCTCGGTGGCTGGGCTGTGCTGGGTTTGGTGACCCTTGGAATCCCTGTGTTGCCACAGATCCTGGGCGGTTGGTCGGTCACTTCAAGGAGAAACACCACCTCCGTAGAGAGCACCTTCTTGGAGGGAAATGAGGTCGGAGGGTTCATTTCTTTTTGGGGAAAAGACCATGACGTCCCCAAGCAGGTCGCTTGTCTATCCTATCGATGGACACATCGACCAGCTTTTTTGCATTTGAGACTCAGTCTGGGTGCAAAACATCCTTCTGTGGGAAAAGCATCCAGCTTCTGGGTGACTCAGTTGGGGAAAAGACTCTGATAGACTCAGTCTTGAAGTTTCGCAAGAAAATCCAAGAGTTTGTGTTGGAGGGTCGAAAGGCCGAACTTCGAAAGGTAGATGTGAGGGGAGGAATATGAGCTAATGCACTGCCTTATGAAGATGAAGAGATCAACCCTCCCCCAGGCATCTCAGTTCCCCCTTGAATCTTTTCCGCCCGAAAACACGGACTCTGTTTCGAAAAGACCGACACAGATGTCCTTTGCAATCCAAGGCAATGGTCTTCGCAAGGACCTGAGCTTCGTCGTCCCCGTCTCATGTTTTGGGGTGCACAAGCTGTGGTTTGTTTAAGTGGCTTTTGGTCGAACATGCAGAGACACGAAACAACAAAAGATACAGTAACACATGCAAAACCAAATTGTACCAGATATTGTAGACTTGCAGGACTTATGGGATCCATACAAAATTCATTGCTGGGATATGATATTGGATCATTTCAAAAAAGAGTATAATATATTATTTCTATACATATATATATATATTTCTATTTATGGGGCTTACGCCCAACAGCGGGCCAGCAGGAGGTTCAGTGGCAAGCGGAGGGGCAAAGAGGTAAGACTTGTGGTTGTTGTTGTTGTTGTGGTGGCGGTGGCTGTCTTTGTTAATGGTGTTTGTTGTTCGTGTTGTTGGTAGAAACTAAAACAGCGGCCCAACATAGAGGTCACATGTTCCACTGCCAGAACTTGAAGGTTGCACAGTTAGGGGTGTGGTTGAAGTTTGGTGGAGAGGTTAGTCTTCTAAGTAGGTGGCACTTCTTTCTCTCTTGAGTGTTGGTTTTGGTTGGTTGGTTTTCTTTGTTTTTGGGGTGTTGTTCTGGGGGGGATCAAAAACAACAACGGGGTCCCAGTCTTAGTTTCTAAAAACAAGTAGAGAAAACAACACGATTTTTGAGGGGGGGTCTCAAAAAACAACAACGGGGTCCCGGTCTTGGTTTCTAGGAGAGAGTAGAACTCCTGGTAGGTAGGTTGCAGGGTTGCTTGGTAGGATACAATAGCTAGGACTGCATTGTAGGGTAGCAGCCACCTACCACCCACCACCACCACCACCACCACCAAATTTCCTCTTTACCAGTATCATCAGGCTCCCACCAACCATGAGTGGGCAGTACCCTGCGAACTGAGTAAGAAACAAACTCCTGGAAACGGAGGGTGACACACACACACACATATATATATATATATGTGATTTGAACAAATGCAAGCACCGCATTCGAACCAGAGGACCTTCGAATGTTGCATCAATTTCCCAGACCACACGTGGTTTGGCTCAAGGATGGACGGGTGTCCGAGGGGGTTGAGCGGTCGGAGGACCGCCAACCTTTTGTTGTTGGTTTGAGGGTTGGATACCCCAGAGGTGGAGGGCAAGGAGGCTACCAGTGTGGTTGCTGTCGCAGCCACATATATATATATATACATACATATATGTATGTATATATACAAGTCTTATTAGTAGTCTAATTGCAGGATGGATTGTTGTTTTTAGGGGGGGTCAAAAAACAACGACGGGGTCCCAGTCTTAGGTTCTACCCCGCAGCAGAAACATATTGAACATATATGTGGAGACGGGGTCGCAGTTGTTGTTTGTACCGTGTTGTTGGTGTTGGTGTGGTTGGTGTTGGCGGTGTTGTTGGTTTTGTTGTAGTTGGAACAGGAAAAGGGGTGCGCAAAAGCATGAAATGCCGGCCATCTGAAGCCCATTTGAAGGAAGGGAGGGTACCCTTGCGGAGTATGTTACGAATAATTTTGTTTTCGCATATGTTTTGCAAAACATAGTAAAGGTACAGTGTTTTTAGATGCGTTTGCGCGTGGAAGAGGCTATTAGGTCTATAACAGATTATAAATCGATTTTACCATCCTAACAATTATAGGAAATTTTTAAATATATATATTATTGGCTTAAGGCTTAAGATTATTTAAGGCTTTTAGGTATTTAACCATAGTAATTGGTACTTTACATCTACATCGTGGAGGCCCTTGAAACTGAGGAGGGTGACAATCCGATTTACTTAGAAGATACAACGGAACTATTTGGTTTGTTAAGGTTGCGGCTAAAGCTGGGTATGGGAAAACAGACTCATTTAAAAGCCCAACATGAAATGCAACTTATGTGGCTAATCGTGGAAGCAACGAAAATTTCCTGATCTTCGCAAACGACGAATTTAATGGGCTTCATGGAACTACACCAACAAAGGTGAACAGTGGCCTAAACGAAATTTTAAGGAAATATTGGTATTATCACTACCTGGGTTATATGGAGGAAAGCCGGCAAAAAAGAACAAGGGCAAGGTCAAAGGTATTGAGAAAAAACTTCAGGAGCATTGGATAAGCATCCTAGAAGTTTTGAGAAGCCAACTTGCTCCGCTACCGGATCTACTAATCCTGATTAAAGAACACCTATAGAGCTTGCTAACAGACTTGAAGGAGGCAATTGAAAAGATTATGGAACCATAGAAAAATGAACCACCATTGAACCAGAAGGTTAAATAGGCCGTTGGAACGCTAAAGCAACTATCGGAGAAGAAGATTTTTATCTAGGGCAAAGCGGACATGGTGAAGCAGTAATACACTTAATTTGGGCAGGACTTGAAGGAAATTCAAGGCAAAATAGAAGCAGCACAGAAAGATTTGCAAGAGTCAACGCATTTCTACAACCAACAGTTCGAGAAAGACAAGGAGAAAGCAATTGATTAAACAATGCAGGATGAGATTACAGCGGAAAATCTGCTGACGGTCATGGCCAATCTAGGGATGCAAGTCTCCGCAGAGTAGGCCAAAGAGTTCGGGCCAAAGAGTTCGCAAGCAAGCTTGGTGCGAATATCATGAAAACAAGGAAATATGGGTAACAAATCACATCTACCCAGGTAGTAGGTTTAAGGGGACAATCAAGCATATGCCCCGCATACTACTTAATTTGGGGGAAAAATTGAATAGCAATGCATGGCATATGGTGATTTTGGCTCAGGCACAGAGGAAAGGGGTGATTTCCTTTGGGTTAGCCAAGGGAAAGAGGTTTCTAGATAGAAGTCAACTTTTGAACAGGGAAGTTCCAATTTCCCGAGCTTTTGTGGGGGAATGGGCATCATGGACGAACTCATGGAAGCCCATGACGACGCGGGTGCACTATCACCGGACGAAGGAGAACATGCAATTCATTTTAGCCTGGACTATGTGCTTCAGAACCTACAGATTAGACTGGGGAATTATAGAAATAGATGTTTTGCCAACGGACCTTTCCGGTTTTGGGCTTGGATGGGAAGCTTCCTATAAGGCCCTAGACTATGGCAGAAAACCATACCGGCAGTCATGGCGGTTCTGGGGGATTTAGAGGTGGTTAATCACGAAAGCTAGCGAAGCTAGCTGGAGTTACTCTTGCGTACTCTTGCGATAACAAGGTTTCTTTCGACCGGGTGCAAATCCTAACCTCTGATTTTTCAGGTCGAAGACCCCGCCCCCTCCCCTCCCCCCTCCCCCCTCTCCCCCCCTCTCCCCTCCCCCCCCCCCTCCCCGCTCCTCCTCCTTGTCTTCCTCCCACCTTCCCTCCCTCCCTCCCTCCCTCCCTCCTCCCTCTTCGTAAGTTCGACTCCGTCCTGTCGTCGCTCTTTGGCATGCGGTTAGCGTTGCGTATCTTGCGACCGCACTCTCTCTCTCATCTCTCTCTCTCTCTCACCTCTCTCTCTCACATCTCTCTCTCTCACATCTCTCTCTCTCACATCTCTCTCTCTCTCACATCTCTTTCTCTCACATCTCTCTCTCTCACATCTCTCTCTCTCCTCTCTCTCTGTTTCCTCTCTCTCTGTCTCCTCTCTCTCTGTCTCTTCTCTGTCTCTCGTCTTTCCGTCTTTCTTCTCTCTCTTCTCTCGCAGGAGGATCCGGGCAAAGAGCCACATATAAAGGACTCTTCACCCCTGCCTCCAAAAAGAGCGCCGTGTTTTTTCGTACCTCACTGCCCTCCACTTTCCCATTTTGGAGCGCTAGCTTTCGCCCGCCCCTTGGCCTCAAATATTACAACTCTGACAACTCTTAGACCGCTGTGGGAACAATTTAATGATATGGTTTAAGATGATGCATCACACTTCCTCCAGGAGCTGGTGAGGCTTTCGGAATCGAATGCTGTCATCAAACAATACCACTACGTAGACCATCGATAAGAAGTACATCTTCGAGAAGCATTCCCTACGCACCTCATCTATCCGACA